TAGCCCACAAAATATACAGTAAACCCACTTTACAGTATATTCCGTGAAGAGCTTTGAGACGTCTCCACAATGTAATATTATTATAATACAAGGATTCTTCTTCATATTATTATTGAGGGTGTTGGCGTGCACACCAGTGCTATGTACTGCAGTGACTTACTGAGAGCTGAGCAGCAGTGTGTGAGCGAGGCCACAGTTAGATACACGGTGCTCAGTGAAGCAGATGGAGCTGTAATGAGTACGACACTGCAAGGGCATTGCTTACCCTGAGCTAGAGATGACATGCTGTGTGTTCGCAGCCTCATTGGCAGAGAGCAGCACCTGGACGCGGCGTGCCTCGATCAATGTCACTTTAATGGACTCCACTTGTTATGGCATTAAAAGCATTTTACTCCGTTCAGATCTTAAATTCCCAAATAACCTCACCCTAATCGGAGTGTGTCACTGTGGGATGTAAACTACTGCATGAATATGCTCCTCACCTTGACCACCTCACCCCTCGCCTGCCACCCTTAGCCCCTCACACTGAATCCCTCGCCCAGCTGCATAGCCCCCCCGCCCACCCACAGTATCAGGTTACATCCCATTATTATTATTATTATAGTGCTCTGGCCGCTGAATTGTACGGGTGTATTATGGCTGCACCTACAGTGATTGGAAGCCGCCTACATCCACATCACAGCACTGCCACCTCCCCACCCCCTCCCGTGTTCTGTTCACACTCAGATAACAAGCTGATGAATTACTGACCGGTCAATACAAGTACCGATATCTCAGATACAGTGTGAGTGCTCTGATCATTGCCAGCGCTGCTTAGATTTCTATCCTTCTCAATGCTATAAATAGCAGCAGTTCACCCCGCCTCAGAGGTCGGTTGTTAACCTGCATCCCACTCCCAGGAGAGGGATCAAAGTCTCTGATGTGATTACTGTGGGTGTCAGAGAGACTGAGAACAAACCTAACCCCTCGTGCTCTCTCTCTCTCCCTCTCACCTCTCTCCACTCTCAACAAGGGCAAATGTGTTTCAGTCATTTTTGAAGAAAAATTGAAATGACACAGTTCAGTTGATGCTCAGCCTGAGAGAGACAGATCCAGGGTCTGATTCTCACATCGAAGAGGGAGACCCTCAATTCAGTCCCATTCAATCAGTCCCAAGAGCAACGCAGGGACAGTTGGGGACGGGAGGGGGGAGGTTGACCGTAGTCACCTTCCCTCACCTCCCGCCCGGCTCAGCATCCAACCCAATTCTTGTGAAGCGCTCTGACATGTTGTCCTAAGTGAACATCAAAGTGTAAATGCCACATCACGTATAAACAGCACAGTATAAACGTTGGTTCTCAGAGCCACAGCGCAGACACGATGGGTTGAGTGGCTTTATTCTGTGTTATAAATCTCTATGGCTTTATGGTTCTCTTCAAGTCTCCTTACGAGGGGTCTCCCCGGAGCTGAACTGGCTCCAAGGTGACATGCTTGTCAACGGATTGTCGGAATCGAGCCAACCCTCTGTGGAGATCTTGGTAGTCCAGTTCCTGAGCCAGGCTGGTCGGCAGTATTCCAGGACACTGCTGATGACAGCACAGCCAGTCTGGCTTATCAGGAGGACCTGGAAGAGCAGACCAGTCACTGGAGGCAGGGAATCATTCCACTCAGCTCCTGTTAACCCTGCAAGCCAAAGCCCTAATGGGTAAGTGGTCCTAGCTGGACAAGCAGTGGGGAAAGCTTTCCAGACAGCGATATCAATGGCAAGCTATGTGGTTTTAGGTAGTTAGATTACAGCAGTTACCCCAACATACACTCTGGAGTCCCAAAGCCTTGGCTCTTGCCAATCTCCACCTAATACGTTCTGGAATTTGGTAAGTAGGATGCATCCCTCCAAGGAGAGGGGGCACATTCCATTCCAACAATCTATCTCTGGGATTTCTATGTGCAGGTGGGATACATTGAATTCTCAGTTTGATTTGGATACTCTTAAGATTGGCGATGGATTTCCACGTGTGACAGCTGATGCCCTCAACAAAAATTATTCCTTGTCTTCTTGCATTCTGATGCCATGCAGGTGAGGTGCTGTGGAATAATCCTAGTTATCCGGACATTGAATACAGTGCCGTATCTCGTTCAAACATCTCAAAGCATTTTTTGTAAAGTATAGTGACTATGTATTTTGTAGGTGAATTCAGCAGCTAATTTGGCACACAGCAACATCCCACAAATAGCAATGAAGTGAATGACCATACCTCTCAGATCAGTGAGGGAATCGGTTAGTAAAATCCAAGATCATTTTGTAAATGAGCCTGTCTGTATTATATGAGATGATAATATTGATGTAACTTTATACGGTTACAAAGAAATCTAGTATCTTTTTTGCGTGGAATATTATTTGATATAATTTATACTCGCTCTGCTGCATTTAAGATTTTGGCTGAAACAAGTCAGTTTGCATTTTATTTAGAACGTAATCTCCAAAACTACACAGGAAAACAGAGTTATGAGGCTATTCAGCCCATCATGCCTATTCCATCAGTTTATTAGATTTGGGCAAATGTTTTAATCCCTGTACCTCTATCATTATACCCCCAATACCTCTGTTAGAACAACAACTTACATTTATATAATAATAACAATCCTTGCATTTGATATAGTGCCTAATCACGTCTTCGAGACATCTCAAAGCGCTTCACAGAACACAGCGCCCATTACACAGGGTAGCATCTTAGGGCGCTATTACCCAAGTCTCTGTCTCACACATGCACTCACTTACACTCATAAACGCACACAAGCACTCATACTTACACACCTAAAATCACAAGATGGCTCTGGATGAAGAAGCCCCTTTGGCCCATCTGATCTCCTCCCTCCAGAACACCCACCCTACTGTCCCCCATCACAGCATCAAGTTGCTTTTTAAATGAGTCCCAGTGTCCTGGAATCAACCACCCTTCCTGGTAACCTCTTCTAGGTTACCACATCATTAATTACTCTCTGGGCAAAGAAAAACTTCCTGTTGTCTGTCCTGAAATTGCCCTTTACACTCTAAAACCGTGTCCTCTTGTTCTATCTACTTTCTTGATACCTTCTAAAGTATTACATTTTCAATTCCATCTAAAATTGTATATGCTTCCACAAGATCCCCTGGTTAGACTACAGCAGTTAGCTCACGGCACACTATGGGGTCCCCAAGCCTCGGCTCTTGCCAACCTATGTCTAATACTTTCCAGAACTGGGTTAGCAGGATGTGACCCTCCAGGGAGAGAGTGCACATTCCATTCCAACAATCTATCTCAGGGATTTCCATGTGTAGGTGGGATGTATGGAACTCTGTTGTGTTTGGATACTCTTAAACATAGTAATCGGTTTCCACATTTGTCAGACACTCGGCTGACAACGAGCAATTTTATTTCCCTGGTATGAGTGTGTACATGTGTACGCACATACGTATGTAAACAAATGTCCAAGTGCATGTGTGTGCTTACATGTTATTTCAATGTGTAAGTGTATATTACTTCTGTGAGTCAGTATATATGTGCATGTGTGTGTCTTTAGTGTATTAACGTGTATGAAAATCTGTCAGTGTTTAAGCCTGTGTGTGAGTATATAACCCTGCCCAAAGGTGTGTTAGCCTGTGTATGACTATATAACCCTGCCCATAGGTGTGTAAGCCTGTGTGTGTATATAACCCTGCCCATAGGTGTGTAAGCCTGTGTGTGAGTATATAACCCTGCCCATAGGTGTGTAAGCCTGTGTGTGAGTATATAACCCTGGACATTGGTGTGTAAGCCTGTGTGTGTATACATAACCCTGCCCATGGGTGTGTAAGCCTGTGTGTGTGTATATAACCCTGCCCATAAGTGTGTAAGCCTGTGCATGAGTATATAACCCTGCCCATGGGTGTGTAAGCCTGTGTATGAGTATATAACCCTGTCCATGGGTGTGTAAGCCTGTGTGTGAGTATATAACCCTGCCCATGGGTGTGTAAGCCTGTGTATGAGTATATAACCCTGTCCATGGGTGTGTAAGCCTGTGTGTGAGTATATAACCCTGCCCATGGGTGTGTAAGCCTGTGTGTGAGTATATAACCCTGCCCATGGGTGTGTAAGCCTGTGTGTGAGTATATAACCCTGCCCATGGGTGTGTAAGCCTGTGTGAGTATATAACCCTGCCCATGGGTGTGTAAGCCTGTGTGTGTATACATAACCCTGCCCATGGGTGTGTAAGTCTGTGTGTGAGTATATAACCCTGCCCATGGGTGTGTAAGTCTGTGTGTGAGTATATAACCCTGCCCATGGGTGTGTAAGCCTGTGTGTGAGTATATAACCCTGCTCATGGGTGTGTAAGTCTGTGTGTGAGTATATAACCCTGCCCATGGGTGTGTAAGCCTGTGTGTGAGTATATAACCCTGCCCATGGGTGTGTAAGCCTGTGTGTGAGTGTATAACCCTGCCCATGGGTGTGTAAGCCTGTGTAAGATTGTGTGAGTGTGTAGGTGTGTGTTGCGGGTGTGAGTATGTGTTTGAGCACACAGGTGTGAGTGTGTGAGCCAGTGTCTGAGTGCGTAAGGCGGTATGCGAGTGTGTAAACAGGTGCGCGAGTGTGCAAGTGAGTGTGTAAGTGAGCGCTGCGCGGTGACTCGGGGCCGCTGGTGGTGGTGAGGGGGGGGGGGGGGTCGGAGGCTGCGCCGCGTTGTTGCCGTTGCGCTTCCCCAGCCGTGCGCCGCGCTCCCCCCCCAAACCCCCCTCCCCCCCCCCCCACCACCACCACCACAACCCGCCCCACTCCCCCTCCCCCTCCCCCCCGCGCCACAGAACCGAGAGGAAAACACGAGCAGAAGAGGGACAGGAGAGGAGGACAGTCGAACCGCAGCGGTCGGTCGGTGGGGATCGGTGTGAACCGGGGTCCGGGTCGGTGGCCGAAGCCGTGAAGCCGGGAGGGGGGGGAGGGCCGGATGATCAGCTCGGTCTGCCTCGCCACCCCCTGCGGACACCCAGCGGAGCCCCCCCCCGCCTCCAAGACATGTCTGACCGGGGACATGGGCAGGAGCGAGCCGGAGCGCATCGTGATCAACGTGGGGGGGACGCGGCACGAGACGTACCGGAGCACGCTGCAGACCCTACCGGGGACCCGGCTGGCCTGGCTCACCGAGCCCGACGCCTTCGTCAACTTCGACTACGACGCCAAGAGCGACGAGTTCTTCTTCGACCGTCACCCGGGGGTCTTCGCTCACATCCTCAACTACTACCGCACGGGTAACCTGCACTGTCCGGCCGACGTGTGCGGTCCGCTGTACGAGGAGGAGTTGGCGTTCTGGGGCATCGACGAGACGGACGTGGAGCCGTGCTGCTGGATGACCTACCGGCAGCACCGGGACGCCGAGGAGGCGCTCGACAGCTTCGAGCCCCCCGACCTGAACGACTGCGGCCCGGCCGAGGGCGGCGGCGGCGGCGGCCTGGGCGACGGCGCGGAGCTCGACGACCAGCTGGACACCAAGCGCCTGGCGCTGGGGGACTGCTCCCTCGACGCCCCCACCAAGGCCGGGTGGTGGCGCAAATGGCAGCACCGCATCTGGGCTCTGTTCGAGGACCCGTACTCTTCCAAATACGCTCGCGTAAGCATAACCCCCTCCCCACACCCCCCCACACACTCCCCACACACACACTCCCCACCACCCCCCACACCCCCCACACACACTCACTCCCCACCACCCCCCACACCCCCCACACACACACTCCCCACCACCCCCCCCACACCACACCCCCCCCACCACACACACACTCCCCACCACCCCCCCACCACCCCCCCACACACACACTCCCCACCACCCCCCACACACACACTCCCCACCACCCCCCACACACCCCCCACACACACACTCCCACCACCCCCCACACCCCCCACACACACACTCCCCACCACCCCCCACACACACACTCCCCACCACCCACACACACACTCCCCACCACCCCCCACACACTCCCCACACACACACTCCCCACCACCCACACCCCCCACACACTCCCCACCACCCGCTTTTATCCTGACGATCGCCCCCAATACACCGCACCCCTTTCTCTCTCTCTCTCTCTCCCCCCCCCCCCCCCACACACACACTCCCCACTCCCTCCCCTCCTCATGCATCTCATTCCTGGTTTCACCTCCGCTCAGCCCCGACCCCCAACACCAACCCCCCACTGAGCAACTGAGACGTTGACATGAACCGGAGGGGGGCAATTGACGTGTCGCAATTGACATGTGGACTTGGGGGTAAAATTGACATGTGGAATTGGGGTACTGGTCTCTCTATAGGTGTGTGTGTGTGTGTGTGTTGGGGTGGGGGTGCGGGGGTGGGGGTGTAAATCGGGGTAGGATGCTCTAGTTGGGAAATAGTGGCTGTAGTTGAAGGTTGACACTGTTGTTGCACTGGGATGCGATGGACCAGACTAGAGTGAGGTGTGTGTGTGTGTGGGGGGGGGGGTGTCAGGCAATGGAATTCGCAGGATATTGGGACGTTGAGGGTCGATATTTTATTGTGTTGTTATCATATAGCGGCTCCCGGTCCCTGCTCGGTGTGTGTTAGCGGCCGCTGCGCTAAATCAATGTCGTCTGAGACGATTGAGAGTCGGTGTGTGGGTCAGAGTCTCGGCGCCGCTCTCTCGGTGCTTTGCTTGAGCGGCTGATTGAGGCAGAGTCGGGAGGGGGAGCGTTAGAGCTGAAAGGACCATCACACAGAGAGAATGTCTGTGTATCTGTCTGTGTGTGCGTCTGTGTATGTGTGTGTGTGAGTATCTGCCTGTGTGTGTGTGAGTATCTGTCTGTGTGTGTGTGTGAGTATCTGTCTGTGTGTGAGTATCTGTGTGTGTACCTGTGTGTGTGTGTGTGCGTGTGTGTGGGTGCATCTATGTGTGTGCGCGCATCTGTATCTCTGTGTGTGTTCCTGTGTGTGAATCTCTCTCTCTCTGTGTATATGTGTTTGTTTCTGTGTGTGTATCTGTGTGTGTGTGTTTCTGTATGTGTGTGTTTCTGTGTGTATATGTGTGTGTGTTTCTGCGTGTGTGTCTTTGTGTATGCGTGTTTCTGTGTGTGTGTGTGTGTGTGTGTGTGTTGTGTGTGTGTGTGTGTACCTGTGTGTGTGATTCCAGCCTGGATTCAGATTTTCAGAGCCTGTACATGTTTGGCCCAATCTTAAATGCGATCTTAATGTTGAAGCCTTGTAAAAGCGACTTCAAAAGTAAATCTGAATGTAAGAATTGTCCACGATTTGGATTCTGTAAGAGGCGCAATTGGAGTCTTAGACCGAGGTGTGTGTGTGTGTGGGGGTGGGTGGGGGGGGGGGGGGGAAGTCAGGCTCATTCACATTCCGCTAACGTCCAGCCGTGCAAAACAACAGAGAACAGGAGCTCGAAACCAAATCTCTGCTGTTTCCATCTTAAATGTTAAAAACGTGCCTCTGTATGTGTGTCTGTGTGAGGGGTTTGGGGGGCTCTGTGTGTGTGTGGGGAAGGGGGGGGGGGGGGTGCTGTGTGTGTGTGTGTGTGTGTGTGTGTGGGGGGGGTTATTGGTGGAGCATATCAGAGATTTGTCCTTTCAGGACCCAGAATATGGAACAGAATTTCGCCCACAAAATACACGATCACTCCACTTTAGAGTCTACCGTGTGACTCTCTGTGTTTCTCTCTCTCTCACTGTTTTTCTTTTCTGTCTGTCTGTCCCTCTCCGCGCCCGTTTCTCTCCCTCTGTTCCCCCTCTCTCTCTCTCTCTCTCTCTCTGTTATATATTTTTGTGAGCATCACACAGCTTGTGGCTTTTAGTCAGTGAATTACACTTGACCCCCGTTTGTTGCTTGTTTGTTTGTTTGTTTATTAATAATAATAATCATTGCGTTTGATACATCCACGCAAGGATTATTATTTGATTATTTGATATAAAACGCCTCATTGCGTCGTTGAGACGTCTCATAGCGCTCTGGGCATTATTACACTGCTGTGTTTAACTGCTTGTGTGTGTTTGTGTGTGTGTGTGTGTGTGTGTTCCACCCTCACTGAGCCAATGTTGTTCTCAGTCTCTGTGTTAACAATAAGTGTCATATCGTTACACAGTGATGGGGATTCACGTACTTGTTGTCTGCAGAGGCTGATCTCAGGCTGACAGACACACACACACACACACACACACTCACATACTGTCCCAAAGCACCTCCAGCTCCCGAACCTGCTCTGTGCGGGGACAGGAGCCCAGACCCCGCTGTCCGTGCGGGCGCACACGGTGGAAAATCCACTCCCCAATGGGCTGGCGATGAGCGGATTTTTACACGTTGTGCACAGGTGCCCGAACGAACAGCGGATTCCGGGCTCCATTCGCCATTGAAAGGAATGGGGATGTTTTGTCAGTCTGAGAGAGAGAGAGAGAGAGAGAGAGCCTTGATGTGAAACTGCAGGGGTGCAAGTCGGAGGAGGGGAATGAATATGGGCTCTCCTCTCTCCGTTATATAATGTCACACTGACCACAACAGGCAGTGGGAACGAGCTGAGATCTGTGCGCGTCTGTAGCTCTCTTTGTGTGTGTGTGTGTGTGTTGTGTGTGTCTGTCTCTCTTTGTGTGTGTGTGTGTGTGTCTGTCTCTCTGTGTGTGTTTGTGTCTGTCTCTGTGTGTGTGTTTGCGTCTGTCTCTCTTTGTGTGTGTGTGTGTCTCTGTCTCTGTGTGTGTGTGTCTGTCTCTTTTTGTGTGTGTGTCTGTCTGTCTCTCTCTTCATGTGTGTGTGTGTGTGTGTGTGTCGGTGTCTCTCTCCCTGGCCCTGAATCCGTCCTCTCTCCGTATTTGTTTCACTCTCCCTCTGTCTTCTTTCTTTCTCTCTCCCTCTTGATTTTTCTCCCCTTTCTCTCTCGCTCTCTCCCTGTTTTTGTTTTTGCCCTTTCTCTCTCTCTCTCTCTCTCCCCCTTCGCATTTCTGTGTTCCTCTGTTTGCTGTCATTCCCTCCCTACCCTTCTGTTTATCTTCCCTTCTCTCTCTCTCTGTATAAAACACAGCCCTGCAGTGTTCCTACACCCATCTCCTTGTTCAGAACTGTATATATATAAAAAAAACACAGGAAAACACATCACCGACAGGGCAGAGAGGCACAGCTATGCATTCAGATATTTCCCAGCTTTACAATGCCAACATTTCCCCCCACCCCACCCCCCACCCCTCGACCCCCACCCCCCACCCAACCCCCACCCTCACGTCCCTGAGTTATGTAACTTCCTCGAATTACAAAATAAAATGCGTGTTTTCTCTCCTGGAGCCCCTTCCCAGAGAGAGTAACAGCAATCCTTGATCAGGTAGGAGGCAGATGGGGGGGTGTGTTTGTGGGGGTGTATGTGTGTGTGTGTGTCCGCGGTACCGCGAGGAGGCGCTGTATGGACCGCGCTGTCCACTCCTCTCCGGCTACACAAAGCACCTCATGAGGATCAGGAAGGGATTTTTTTCTTTTGACGCTCGAAAATAAACCCTCTGGGTTGGTGCAATATTAGGACACTCACTGCAGATACATTAACATACCGACCGACCGAACGACCTTCGCTGTGAGGCAGCTCTTCTGAAGAGTTGAATGCGCCTCATGCAGTAGTCAAAGTCACTATCACTCACTCACTCACTCACTCACTCACTCACTCACTCACTCACTCACTCACTCACTCACTCACTCACTCACTCACTCACTCACTCACTCACTCACTGTCACTCTCTCACTCTCACTCTCACTCTCTCTGTCACTCACTGTCACTCACTCACTCACTCACTCATGATCCAAGCAGCAGTCAGGGTTCACCCTGATGTGTCCCAAGACGGTGAGAAATGACCTTCAACCAGGCTGGCAGCGCTGCCAGGCACTGACACTGGCCGGGACCGGCAACAGGGAGCATCAAGGCGGATCAGTATAGTGGCATTTACGCTCCCATTTACAAACCGAAACATCACATTCACCTGAAATCTTCCGGGGTGTCAGGGAGGGAAAGGATCTTGGCGTGAGAGGCAGGGAGGGAGAGGCATCATTCTGGTCAATGACAAACCAGCTGAGAACCTGCTCCACGTGAAGGGAACAATTTTCCTGTTGCAAAGGGAATCAGAGTATTGGGGTTCAGTGCGTTTTTATGGGCAGCGCCCCCTCCCTCCCTCTTATTATCTGTCTCCTCTGGGAAGCCAACCCTGCACAAATGGCGCTATATAAATGCAAGTTGTTGTTGTCTCCTGGCTGGTGCTTCTCACCACTTTCAGCGAGCTGTGTGCGTGTCTATATATACACACTCACAAGCTGCTGGGTTAATACATTGGAGTGGGTGTGAATTATTACGGTGGAGAATATAAGACAATTTAAAATGAGAAAACAGTTTTAGGGCAGGTGATATGTGTGGCAGTGGTTTTAGACTGAGATGCCACCTCACATGATGGGCGCTATGTAAATGCAAGTTATTTTAATGTCATTGGTCAGGACCTGTCACTCCCCCACCCCCATTTAAAAATAAGTGTAGAGCAAAATTACACTTAAGAACAGATTTGTGGAGTCCTGTAGCTCAGTGGTCAGAGCACTCGCCTTGCAAACGAGACACCTGGGTTTAATTCCCGGCAGGACAA